AAAAATGTTCCCGCCAGACGTGGTGGTGCACACCTGGCAGAGTCAGGTGGATCTCTGTGAGTTCGAGGCCAACCTGGTCTACATAGCGAATTCCAGGATAATTGGGGCTACAGGGAGACCCTGTCTCAAAAAAACCAAAAAAAAAAAAAGGAAAGAAAACTTATGACAAATATTCAGTGAAACAACGACAGAAAATTATTATGGTATGAACTCAAATAATGAGTGATTCAAACTATGGGAACTATCATCTGTATGATTCTGTTTTTTCATATTTTGCAATTATTTTTAGCACAAATGTGGGTGAGTGCCATAGTCAGAAAAGATGTTGGCTTTGCTTTCTAAAGCAACAGCCTTTAACGTTTAGATAATGAGCATACCTCCCCACACAACCAAATCTCATTAGGAAAAAAAAAGGTCTAGGAGCCTGTTCCCATGGCAACAGATCTTCCCCTTTCCCCTTAAATGAATGAGGAGTCTAATGAAACGAAGACCTATTTTTACTCTGTCATAATGTGGACCCTTGATTTGAGCCACTTGCATCGGGCTGCTTCTGCTCACAGACTAGGCTCAGAACCAGCTAGGATGCTCAGAGGAGCTAAATCGGATTCTTCTTGGTTCCAAAGATGCATTTAAAGAAGCTTCCTTGCTCTCTCATACAAGCTGAGAACATTCACACCACAGCCTCACTGTAGGAAAGACCTTTTCTCAGATTTCTCCTCTTTCTGCAGCAGTCCTTCTCGGCAAACTCCCTGTGCCTAAGAGTGACAAAGCCAAGCCCTGTTCCAAACAGCTGCTCCGAGTAAAAATACTTTTAACATGGCAGAAGAGCCTCAATCTTTTAATTTTTTCTTTTTCAAATTAGCCTTCACACTGAAATTGGTTTCCATTAGCTCTGCCACTTACGGACATTTTGAACAAAAAGCCTCGTGATAAGAACAGGGAGCTTCCTTCCTCTTGGGCTTGTGTCACAGTTCTCACACGAGCTACAGTATCAACAACAGATTCAGAGGCTGTATGGTACAGCCTAAGACATCATCAACTCACATAGAAAAATATCCCAAGAAATCATTTTTCAAAAGCATGAGAACAAAAGCAATTATCTAAGCAATTAAGACAAATTCTTTCAACTCAAAGCCAGAAATAGTACAGAACTCATTTCTAAATCCACATATACGGGGACTTCCCGTTAGACAAGAAAAGAGGAAGAAGTTAAAAAACAAAATCTACTACGTGTGCACCTCAGGCAAACATGGTGAAGCAACATGTCGATCAGCTGAACCCACAGCGAAGGATGGGGCTCTGAAGAGAGGCTGGGGATTTACAGTCTTGCCTCCACCAGCGACTGCTGCAAAAGATGGCTCTTTGAAAAGGAAAGGTGCTCTCCTTGCTCCAACCAGCAGGTTACAGCTCCAGCAGGGTGCAGTCTCCTCCCTCTGCATTTGCTTTACTGTTCTCAACACACCCAAAATGGAACCATCTCACATTTGGTTTTGGGATGAGGAAAAAATATGACAGGAAGCCAGAAGGATTCAGTTTGGGACTAAGAAATTTTTTTTTTTGAAAGCTGAGTTGAAATTAAAGAAAAGAAAAAAAAATCAACAAAATGTTCTCCAGGTGGACTTATATAGTATTAAACTATATTCTGTATGCATTTAAAACCAACATGGGAAGTGGGAGGGGAAAGAAGGCTTTAGTCAATAAAAATTGTCGAGACTCATTTCACATTCACCAAAAATGAAAAGAAGGAACCATAAGAAAATCCATTCCTCCCCAAGCAACATGTTACAAAGGTGAAAATCCAGAGCAAGTTCCAGCCACACAGGAGGTAGCATGGGAAGAAATGAGCAGTTGGAGGAACTGAAGACACCCCCAGGACAACCTTACGCTGCTGGATGGCCATAGCTGAAGGTTGGTTCGGCTCATCTCTGGGACTTTCCACTGGGGAGGGACCTGCCACTCAGCCGTCAATGGACTAGCATTCACAAAGCCTGTGGGTAAATAACAGGATCCAGACGAGTAGGATAAGGAAGGAGAAAATTTGAGAAAGGGAAGAGTCAAACACAGT